TCGATCCCACAGTGCCTTAAGACGAAAGTCTTTAATGAGTGCGTCCTACCCGTCATGACATACGGAGCCGAAACGTGGACACTTACGGTACGGCTGGTCCACAAGTTCAAAGTCGCTCAACGTGCTATGGAAAGGGCTATGCTCGGCGTTTCTCTAAGGTATCGCATCAGAAATGAGGTGATCCGGCAGAGAACTAAGGTCACCGACATAGCGTACCGGATCAGCAAGTTGAAGTGGCAGTGGGCTGGCCATATTAGCCGCAGAACCGATAACCGTTGGGGAAAACGAGTTCTTGAGTGGAGACCGCGTCTCGGCAAACGTAGTGTAGGACGCCCACAGGCCAGGTGGAGTGACGATTTGCGCAAGATGGCTGGCAGGAGCTGGATGCGAGAAGCCCAAAATCGATCTAAGTGGCGTGCAATGGGAGAGGCCTATGTCCAGCAGTGGACTGCGATAGGCTGATGATGATGATGATGATGATGTTAGACGTCTGAAAATATTATTTTTATTATTCCATGAGTTCAATTTCTACACAGCATAAATATTGTGTGATGAGCATAATCGTTTATTCTCTGTTTTTTCATGTTATTTGTATAATGAGCAAACGAGGGAGTGTTTGCGTGTAATTTATCTATACTGATAGTACTTATAAAGGGACTGTTTGATAGGTTGAACGTCCTAATCTCAGAAACCACTACTTCGAGTTGCAATATGCTTGTAGTGTCTGGCAGTCCATTTATCGAGGAAATTTATAGGCTGTGTAACATTATGCTACGACCAATAGTTGCGGATCATTGAATGAAAAATGACGCAAAAATATTCCTTTCAAAGCTTCCGTTGCTTGCGCTACGTAAAATATTAAAGTTACTCAAGAACCACATGATTATTGCGTTACTTTAATATAACACATACAGTATACATTATATATTACATACTGTATACATTATACATGGCAGAATTGTTCCTCTTACCGTGGCTTTACCGTGGGAGAGCCATGTTTCGGCACGAATGGGCCGGCTCGAGCGGAGTGATACCACGGCCTCACAGAAAACCGATGTGTAGCAATTCTTTCGTTGCCTTTCACTGAGTGAGTGAGGTTACCGGAGCCCAAATCCCCCTCCCGCTAACTCGAGCGAGAGGGACTCCAAGGGCAGCAACGCACTTGTAACTTTTGAGTTGCAGGTGTCCTTGGGCGGCGGTAGTTGCTTACCATCAGGTGACCCGTCTGCTCGTTTACCCCTTATACCATAAAAAAAATAATTAAAAACTTCTAAAAAACGTCCTCGATATATCTATATCTTTTAAAATCTTTCTCATAACTAACACAGATCAAGTTATGCGGGTTAGTTAGTCTATAATATTTATATGGCGACAAGACCGTACAAGATAAACACAGATAGGATTATTCTAAATAACAACAAACAAGCTAAATGTAACTCAAGGCAACAGATTATGATTCCAAAGTTCTTGAACAAGGTTAGCGCATGTATTTAATCCGTGTTTGTTCCACTTTAGCAACTGCTACAAATTTTCTATGTTCGTGAGGTTCGATTTCGACCCAGGACAAATATTGTGGGATGGGTAAGATCATTTGTTTTGTGTCAGGATGTATGTTTGGACGTTTATTTGTCCATCAGGCATAATAGAAATAAATAAGTTGTGAAAAAAAAAAAAACCCATACCATACCATAGATGGGATTGTGTCGTCTGGCTAAATCGCGTTATGATTTCGTTACGTACGTGGCTATATAAGCTCGGAGTTATTATTTTGTTTGGTATTCATTCTAGGAATATTGCGAAGTATATTGTATCCACTCGTCTGGAAATCTCTGGATATCCGCAATAACTAAGAACTTTTTCATAGTGTAGTATAATTTACTAGTAACAGTTAGTGTAAATCTTGTTTATTGTATTAATAAACTTTCTGTCGTATTCCTCCTCCTCGCTTCGGTTGCTTCAATGCTGAGGGTCGTGGCCGCCTCCTTGTAGCAAGAGTTTGCTGTTGATCACTCGATGCGACCCGTTTCTATCTGCCGCCGAGTGTAGTGGTGTCGAGAGTAGTGCAGATCTGGTCAGTCCAACGCGTCGGGCTGCTGCCTCGTGGTCTTTTTCCATCCAGCTTTCCAGTTACCATGAATTTCTCCAAGTTGCCGTCATCCTTTATGGCAATGTGGCCGAAGTATTTCAAAACTCTATGCAGGTAAAAAGCCTTGTCTGTATCTTGCGTTCTTGCAGGATTGGAGTGGCAAACCGGTTCCCCATTATTTGAGGTTCTCAGCCGGTTTCAGGTTATGTCACTCATTCCGTGAAAGCAACAAAATAATTGTTTAGACTCTGGCGTAATTTTAAATTACAGTTGTTGAATACTCTAAACTTTAGAGTATTCAACAACTGTAATTTAAAATCACGCCACAGCCTTTAAGAGAGGAATACAGGTGAAACTGTGAGAAACACCTCGTTTTATTTATATTTTGAGTATTAAATCTATAATAAATATCCTAGCGATTACGTTCCAATTAATTGCCGTGTGTTCTAGAATTGCCACTCCATTCCATTATACGGGCTTTGGAGCACCTGTTCATTACTTAATCCGCTTCAACTCACACTGGAAACCTTACATAGGGATCTAATTAACTATAACAGTCTAGTGGACAAGCTTTTGAAGTCTTCGGCTTAATAAGCTTAATAAGAAGATACGTTATATTCCTACTGCACGCACAAAATATTTGTTCCGTAACAATATACGTAATATACATCTATCAATGCATTTTAGTACCAAAATAAGGAAATAGAGAAAGCTTAAGAGTGAAAGAGACAGCTATTTGTAATCAGTACAGCGACAAAAGGTATTTTACGGTTTTTTTTCAAATTAATTAGTACGTGCGCGCACTTTTTGTGGTCCTAATTAGGACCCTCACGTTTTGTGCGTTGGTGGCGTAACTACCTCTTTTATGTATACAATATCATTGCCATAATATTATACGTATTACCGTGGGATAGTCATACTTCGTCATAAATAGGTCGGCTCGACTGGAGTCATATCACAGCCGTACAGAAAACTGGTGTAAACCAAATTTGGCGCCGCTTTTCATCGATTGAATGAGGTCACCGAAACTCAAAAAAGGGCGAAAATGCACTTGTGTCTCTAAAGTTTCAGATGGCAGTAGTCACTTACCATTAGGTGACCCTTCTGACCCTTAGCTCCTTAGACAAAAAAAGACGTATCCACAGCCTATAAAACAGTTCACCTTCGTTCACGGTCAGTGCACCGCTCCTAAAGGTGGCAGCGTGATATAGTTTATAACTGTCCTCAGAAACTTGGTTACAAAACGCCAAAAACCGTTTTTACAATTTCAACTCAAAGCTAAAAATAAAATATCTGTGAAAAATATACTGTGAAGATAACGTGTTATAAAAAAGGAAATTGAAACTCCTGGCGAAGATTTAGAAGTATGAAACAATACTAAATTAATTTTGTTAACAAAAGTTAGAAAATGAAACAGTACAAGACGGAAGCCTGATTAATAAATACGTAATAAATAAGTACACCTAATGAAAACGAGTAACAGTCACACCCTTAGCTAATAGACGTTTAAAATGTAACATGGCGGAGTTCCTCAAACTAATTTAATATTTACAAATTATTATCGTATCGCAACTGTATTTTTCGTTTTAGTGTCTGTCAGTAGGTACCATTCTGGCCGCGCTTAGATCCAAAACTATAAAATGGATTCATGTAAAACTTTGCATGATTTGAGTCCATATTACAAGGTTACTTTTTAATCTGAAATTCAACACGGGTTCCTTAACAAAAGAAAAAATGTGTTTACTCAGTTGTAACGATCATTCAATACAACTGCGTGAACACATTAGGTTCATGCCCAGCATGAATTTTGGTTTCGAGATAAACAAGAATTTAGGTAGCAATTAGTTCATATTATCAGATATGATGAATGAGATATTTAAAAAAAACATTAAGTAGTAAGTCATCAAATACTGCTATTTGGAGTAAGAAATTGACCCCTTTTTTCTGTGCGGAAATCCCTTCGGGTACCACCCACCGGTGGTTATGTCGAACTCGAACCCGCAAATGTGAAATCCCACGCCGTCTCGGGTACCAGTTGCCGGGGAACCAGGTGTACCCTAGGAAGGAAGCCCCTGATACCCCGACGTACCTCGAGCCAATAGCCACGGCTAATGACCCCCTCCTGTGTGGGAACCCCTATGTCCCCTTTGTGCTCCCGAAAGGGCGCGCGCGTCGCAGCGCGTCTAACCACCACCCCGGCCTGCTTCTGCTAGGGTGACAGATGGCCTCACCTACCACCGCCAGGCCCGCACTTATGGAGGTCGGAGGTCATTCTGCGACCTCCGGCGCCTGAGTCGTCTGCGGTACCGGGAGAGTTCTAAATCTCTCCTGGTTCGGCTCCGCTATCTACTTTGCAAGCATAACTTGCTCGCAGAAGGAGACAGCGGAGTTCCACAACCTCTCGCTCCGTACCATGGCAATCATGTTACCGAGCGAAATCTTTAAGTTTATCTATTGTATGTTGACTGCCTCATTTTAAATGGAACTCCTCATTTGATAAGTTATTATAAATATGGAATATTCACCATTTATATTTTCGCGAATTAGTTTATACTACCTTATCAAGTGAAAATTATATGACCACGGTAGTTTCAATTATTAATCCTCCTCTTCTCTAAATCCTCGTTATCGTAAAACTTTTCCAGAAGAACTATTAATTTAAGTTGTATTATTTATATTGCCTAAAATCGGGTGTTTTTACTAAATATGAATAAAATTTAAATTATAAGAACAATTCTTAAAAATAGTTCAGAGTTATAATACTAGTTTCAAAACGCAAATGTCAAGTTGACGTAAGATTGCTTGTCCAACGTCAACAAGTGTGTGGAATGATGCGTTTTCACTAAAAAAAAATTACAAATTTTAAATAGAATTAATAAATATTTAAATTGCTTTTAATAATACTGTATCCAAAATGACGAGCTCGACGTCTTACAATAACGACAAAGTCGTGATGGCTGAGGTGGAATACCCGGCTAATGACCCAGCTTCAGGGGCGTTTTTCCAACCAGATTATAAGAAGTAAGTCAATAATATACCTATATTTCAGTGCTATGTAGTCTTCTACTTATATCAATTGTTCATTTTTACAAAGCTTAACAAAATCTGCAGTAAGTATAATCATTATTTCTGCGTAGTTTAATCAATGAAATGTTAAGTAAACTATATCCATTCTCATTTAGTAAAGTATAAGTGTTTCTATTCTTTTTCAAATTTATTGTAATTTTAACTAGTAGTTTTCTGCATTTTGCATTTTTAGTGACAGCTCTGTTCTTTATCCGTGTTAGGTTTCATAAACAACAAATGAGTAAATAAATTATCATCATAATTTTCTTTTGCGTGAATTATCTAAATATATTTTAGGTGAAAATAATTTCAAAAATCATAAAAATTAGTCCAGCCCTTTTCGAGTTACAAATGGTGTAACTAATATTTTTTTATTAAAAAAAACAACAAGGCGCTAGGAACATATCCTGTGTCGTATACATATACATTAAAAGGGACATCAAAGGAACCTGTCTTTGCTTTATTTATAAGAATAACACATCAACATATTTTTAAACGTATTGTGCCTGTGTGTGTGTCTAGGAATGAAGACTTAAAATTGATGTTGGATGGTTCAAAAGACTCCTTAAAATTGGAGGCTATGAAGAGAATCATAGGCATGATCGCTAAAGGACGGGATGCATCAGATTTGTAAGTATTGATGATATGGAAATTTCATTTCAGTTGCTACATTTTTTATTTAATTTCTAATACCATATTAAAAAATTTGCACTCCACTACTGGGCGTTTTTAAAATACTTTTTGCCGCATACAACAAATTGTAATCAGGGGAATTTCTGGACCCAATAATTTTAAACCTTTTATTACCTAGCAGCCGAAATTACTAGTATTCCCGTTAACCTTTTTCACTAGGCTAAATTCCTTGTGCTAGGAGTGAGTTTACGTTGGTAGTGTACTGGTCAGGATTCTAACCTGCGACCTCTTGATCGCAAGTCCAATGCCTTAACCCATAGGCTACCGCCGCTTCTAATCATCTAATTAACATTAATGCAAGTAAAACCATGTGTAAAAAGCTAGTATACTATAGTACTTTACAATCCCTTATTATATTTAATTCCCTATTTACTTTGTATTGGTATTGGTATTTTCATATAGGTTTCCAGCAGTTGTCAAGAATGTGGTATCAAAGAACATAGAAGTGAAGAAGCTGGTTTATGTTTACCTTGTCCGGTATGCTGAAGAACAGCAAGACCTTGCTTTACTCTCCATCAGTACATTTCAAAGAGCTCTAAAGGTAATTCTAAATATCTTATTACATAACTAAAATGTGAAAAATGGCTTTATTACTGGTGGTGTTTGCCAACAAGTTTCTGGTACTTTCAAATGCATGTATTGTATGCCAAAGGTAGTGGATTTGATTCCCAACACATGATGAATAACTGTGTTATAAGCATATAATTTGTTTAGTATCTGAGTATAGTTTATCTATAACATGTATGTATTTAAAAATATATAAGTACATACATTAAGTATATATAAGTACATACATTAAGTGTTGTGACGGATTAAGAATACAGAGTGTCACCACCCCTATTCATCCCGTGGGTGTCGTAAGAGCCGACTAAGGGAATAAACTACGCAGAACAACATCACTGCAGAGAGAAGGAAAACTTGACATAAACCCTATACAACCCGTCTGGTCAGCGTGGGATAGTAGGCCAAAACCTCCTTTCCAAGGAGAGGCTTATGTCCAGCAGTGGACTGTTAAAGGCTGTTGATGATGATGATGATGATATATTAATTAGCAGTCTCGTTACCATAGTGCAGTGTCTGCCTGGTTTGGGATAAGAAGGCTGTGTGTGAGATGTCTGAGGTTATCCTGTTTCTCATATAACGCACCATAAGGCTTAATAATATAGTTTCAATACAGGTAGATATCTACAACTGTAGCCTGCTGAATTTCAAGGGAGTTGCCCAAAGGCATATTACAGCAAATGATTTTTCTTTATAAAATAATTGTTACTTACCGTTTTTACTTACAGTATCGTTTTGGGATTAGGATCCCGTAAAGACACTGTAAATATTTTAAATAAAAAAATACTATTATTACTGATAAAATAATAATAGTTTAAAAAAACTAAAAAACACGCTTTTTATAGAAAACCAAACTTAAAAATAGAAAATAAATTTTAATAAATTCTGACCATTTAAAGTCAGTCAAAATCACGCTCAAAGGAGTCGGTTCACACTCAAAGGGTTAAATATACAGGTGAAGCTAATAAAAAGCGTGTATTGATAATATATGACACATTATCATATCACCGGTGATTTATAGCCGTTTTTGGAACGAAGTTCCTTATCGCGCGTTGTGAAAGGGGGCTAGACGGAAAAAAAAACTCACGAAAAGTTGTAACGACACTTTTTATGTCACTTGTCAGTCATTCAGCGCCATCTATCGAATAGATAGGAAATCATTACTTTTCATCTCAGTAAAATTAAAATTTATGTTCTTAGGTTGAGCAAAAAATATTGTATTCAACATCATTTCTCAAGGAGATTTTACCAATGTATAAATTGTTTTAATTAGAAACCAACTGAAAAATATGTAGGTAATAGCCGCTTTCGTAGATGGCGTTGTAATTAAAATCGTGTAGAATCAGTTTTACTCGATCGTCACAACTTCGTTCCTATCGGGTGTCCCACGACACCTTTTAACTATATACTTACAGAATGAATGACATTTAGAGAAGAATCACTAGTAACTTATAAACCTACCTAAGTATGTTATATGTTAACAGGACCCCAATCAACTGATACGTGCGAGCGCCCTCCGTGTCCTCTCATCCATAAGAGTTCCAATGATTGTGCCAATTGTGATGCTGGCCATTAGAGACTCTTCCAGTGACATGAGTCCATACGTCAGGAAAACTGCTGCTCATGCAATACCTAAATTGTACAGGTAAGAATTTATGGCCTGTTCATGTGGTGACAGATTTAGAAAACGGAATATGGAGTGGAGCTGACTAAGGAAGCAAACTACGCAAGACAACAGCTGTGCAAAGGCACGGAAAATTTGTAACAAACCCTATACCAACCCGTTTGGCCAGCCTGGTGTAGTAGGGCTAAATCTCCTTTGTAAGGAGAGGCCTATGTCCAACAGTGGATTATTTAAGGCTGTTGATGATAGACATAGTATTGAATCTTCTTTTTTCAATTTTATGTTGCCATTAATTTCATGAGGGCCTCAGCAATTTTTTTTTCTAAAAGTAAGTACTATATTTTAGTTTACTGTATAAGTGATTCCTGAAACTATATATCCACAGCTTAGACCCTGAGCAAAAAGAGGAGCTGGTGGCAATAATAGACAAATTATTGTCTGACAAGGCGCCGCTTGTTGTTGGTTCAGCTGCTATGGCTTTCACCGAAGTGTGTGGTGACAGGATGACTTTGATCCATAGGAGTTACAGGTAATAGACCCATATTGTATAGTAAGAGAGTTCCGACCACAGATACTCTGAGGTTCAAGTTACAGGTACCCTGATGAAGGTCAGATGGCTTGAGAAGTTGAGCATATCAAAGACTCTTTTTACACGCTTTCTATTAGCTTCACTTGTATGTTTGTTTGTAATCGACTCCTTTTTTACACGCTTTTTATCTTTGGGCGTGATTTTGACTGACTTTAAACGGTCAGAATTCGTTCAAACTTTGTAGATATATCGAGGACCAATGACAATACACTAATTTAAAATAAAAATAAATAATATTAAAAAAATGAAAAATAATAATAGTTAAAAAAAACAACAAAACACGCTTTTTATAGAAAACCAAACTAAAAAATAGAAAATATATTTTTTAAAAGCGCCCCACGCTTTTTTTTCAAAGTTATTAATTTTTTTTCAATTTAGTCTAGACTAACGTAATCATTATCATAAATCGCAGTGGTTTTGCATCTTTGTACTGCCATCAGACCTTCACAAGTCAAATACTAGGCGATATCACAGTTTTGTAGACAGACTTTTTAGGTCAACAACAACGCGTAACGTTTGCCACAGACAACGCTTAACGTGCTCTCCGAGGCACAAAGGGGCCCCATGTGTTAAGAAATGGTCACCCATCTATAGACTGACCTAGCTATGATTGCTTAACTTTGCCATGTGCTAACCTACTAGATTACCACTTAGCGATGATCCTCTTCGGAGATAAAAACACTAAGATGTCAACGTGAACATGCATTTATCATCATCACATTGTGTTTAAATTCGGCCAACTAACGTAAATCTATGCAAACAATATAAAGAGGTAACATTTGTTTGTATGTAGGCGCTAATCTTTGAAACTGCTGAACCGATTCTGTTTTTTTTTTCGCTACAATATAGCTGCATTATCCCTGAGTGCTATAAGCTATAAATTATATTTATATCGTCCAACCCGCGGGCGACAGCTATTCCATACTAAACTTACAAAGTGGAAGAGTTTGTTTATTTGTTTGAACGCGCTGATCTCAGGTACTATTAGTTCAAATTGAAAAAATCTTTTAGAGTTGAATAGTCAATTTATCTAGGAAGGCTATAAGCTACATAATTTCATACTACCACCAATAGGAGCCAAGTATCAATGAAAATATACTAATTAAAAAAAAATAAAGTGGTTTTAAAAAACTAAAAAATATGCTTTTATAGAAAACCAAACTAAAAAATAGAAAATTAATTTTAATAAATTTGAAAAAAAAAAGCGTGGGGTGCTTTTAACTATTGACAACAGCGTATTTTTTAGTTTTTTAAATCAGTGTATTGTCATCGGTCCTCGATATATCAACAAAGTTTGAAGTCCGTTCAAAGTCAACCAAAATCACGCCCAAAGGAGTCTGTTACAAACAAAAATACAAACATACAAGTGAAGCTAATATAAAGCGTTTAAATGTTGCAAAAGCGAGGAAAATATACTACTTTTAGGAGTCGCAAAGTAAGTTGTACGGGGAGTCCATGTTTTCAGATACAGTTGCTAATCAGTCTGAAGAAATCTGAATATACTACGGCGAATAAGAACAAACCTACTTAATAAAAACACCAAATAAGCGGCAATATTTATGTTCTTCAGAAAACTGTGCTCTCTGCTTGCGGACGTCGACGAGTGGGGTCAACTGGCCTTGCTGAACGTACTCACTGTGTACGCCAAGACCTGCTTCCCTGATCCTAATACTGAGGTAAGGAGCATTCGACTGTCGGAGATCGCGAGTTCGATTCCCTCTACGAGAAAATATTTGTATTCATCAATATGTCTATTTGCATTAGTCCGAGTGTGAAATACATAACTCTACCTGTTATCAAGTATCGGAACTAATGAACAGTGCCTAAAAAAGTTGGAATGTTCTGCGATATTCTGAAAGTTTCCATAAGAGTATTGACTTATAATTAGATTATTACGAGATTTTACGCAAGACTTTTCTGGACATTTCTATGTGATAAGCCCTCACATAAAACAGGAAACAGCGAATCAGTGCGACATCTATGATTCGGAATATTAAGTTTATAGCTAATAATTTAAATAAACTGTGTATTTCGTGTATAAATTGATGGACTGATCTAATCACGAACCCAAGATTGTAACATCATCATCATCATCAACAGCCTATAACAGTCCACTGCTGGACATAGCCCTCTCCTTAAAAAGGTTTTTTGCCGACTATACCACGCTGGCCAGAAGGGTCGGTATAGGGTTTGTTTCAAGTTTACCTTCTCTTTGCAGTGCTGTTGTCCTGCTTATTTTGCTCCCTTAGTCGGCTTTTACGACACCCACAGGATGAATAGGGGTGGTGACACTCCGTATTCTTGTTTCGTCATCACACTGACAGCTTTTAACAGTATTTATTGTATAAATTTCTGGAAATTATAGTACCAGCTATAATATTATTATTATCCAGGACTATTCAACGGACAGTGAATCAGACAAGCCATTCTACGAGTCAGAAAGTGAGGGCACTCCTCGAAAGCAATCGTCTCATTCGCCAAGCCTAGACGCCGACCATAGACTATTGCTGCGCGCTGCGAAACCGTTGCTGCAAAGTCGAAACTCTGGCGTGGTGATGGCTGTAGCCCAACTATTCTATCACTGTGGACCTGGTACGTGTGTATATTAAGTTTTATTTTCAAAGATCATCATCCTCGAGCCTTACAATAGTCGCATTTGTTACAACTTACCAACAGCGTCAGCCAACTTGGCTTCCTGTTACAGACTTCCGTCCCTTACACGAAATCACTCTTACAAATTATAGAAATTACTTTTTTGCAAGCAAAAGCTAAGAAAGATTTTATTTAGAAATAAGTGATAAATTGTATAATTGCTTCTTCTGTTTAACCGTGAGTTTGGCTAGCCGTGTGTTTAGCCGTGTGTTTGGCTAGCTCGACCGGAGTGATACCATAGCCTCACAGAAAACCGGTGTTAACCAACTCTTTTGTTGCTTTTCACCGAGTGAGGAAGGTTACCGGAGCCCGAACTCCTCTGCCGAGTCAATAGGGGGCTCTAAAGGCTTCAACGCACGTGTGACTCTTGTAGGCGTACATGGGTGGCTCTAGAACAGAAGGCCAATTCTCGTACTAAAAGTTCGGTCTTCGATCTCACAACTATCATAAAAGGTATTTTCGTAGTAAAATTATAAAGTATTACTAAGACTATCAGATTACCGATTCAATTTTCGGTTACAATACGATATGATCACATTACAGTAAACGTTGGACGTTTAACACTTTACTACGAAAATACCTTTTATGACAGTTGTGAGATCGAAAGTTGATCAGAACAATTCACATCAACAAACAACACACAACTAAAGTAAAACTTCTTGGCTATGAGTAAAAGAGAGAAAGAAAATGTGATCTCGCACCTCTCTTCCTTGCCCCTCCGGTAATATACGAACATATCTATCTCTCTTTCTATCTTCACTAACTTATATCTCCCTCTCAACTACCATTCGCCTCGCCGGATCACACTTTTCGTAACGCTCTCGTCACGCATTCACCAGCTTACTCCCCAATTCAAGCGTGCGTACAGAAGTTTTACCTTAAAAACTGTTTATATACTTCCGTTGGCCACAGCTCAAGAGTTGCTCCCCGTGGCGAAGGCGATGATCCGCCTGCTGCGCGCTCCACTAGAAGTCCAAAGTGTGGTGCTCAACTCAATCGCATCGCTCACTGTCAACAAACGAGTAAGTTTTTTTTACTATTCAGTAATGGAATGTATCATATACAGGGTGTAAGGGACATCGTAACGAATACAGAAATAGTGTATTCAAACCACCGTTCTGGGTCGAAAATCATTGGAACTTTCTGTCGGAAAATTAATAAAAAAAGGTTCTATTTTTTTATAATTTTCCATTTTTTTGATTAAATATGATATCACAATGAGTAAACAGAATATTTTACCGAAAAAACGTTTAATTTTTCGCCACTCAGAATAATGGTCTGAATACACAATTTCAGTATTGGTTACGACGCCCCTTACACCCTGTATACATCGCAAATATACCAACATACCACAAACTTCGATTCGATTTATTCATACCATCCATGAATTAAAAGATTTGCGAAATCTCGAACTTTTATCGATACTTGTCATATCATTATCTGAAATGAAACTGAGAAATAGGAGTCACCCTTTTCTCAATTTTCCTTTGCATTTTGTATCATTACAAAAGGTTTTTTGGTCTGCCGCGCTTACCTGACATCGACCGTTCTTGGGAAATAAATAAATTGGGCTGGGAGACCAAAAGACAGTACAAAGGAACTAGGGAAAGAATATCAGCAAGTCTCAAATGAAAGAACATTCAAACTGTTTCCACCAACACAAATATCTTCTCCAGGCAATCTTCGAACCGTTCCTCAAATCATTCTTCGTTCGCAACTCGGACCCTACACACATCAAGTTGCTGAAACTTGAAATTCTAACCAACCTGGCGACGGAAGCGAGCGCCCCTGTAGTGCTCAGGGAGTTCCAGACCTATGTCACTTCTAACGACAAAGCTTTCGCCGGGGCCACTATACAGGCCATAGGTAGATTGGCTGTGGCGATACAGTCTGAAACCGAGACGTGTCTGAATGGATTGCTGCATCTTCTGTCAAGTAAAGATGGTGAGTAAGAACATGGGGGGTTTCTGGTTCTGTAACTCTCGACATAGTACCATACAGTCAACATCTTGTTTTTGACGTGACAACGTCTTATAATTCGATGGAGCCGGCTGCACGCACGAAAAAACATGACTCATGCGGCGTTACCTCGCTCTGAGGCGTTCCATTTAAGGCTTGAAGTGCAAGCGAGAGCGCGCAACGAGCGACAAAGAGGCACAATCGGCCTCCGCTTTCGGCAGCGTTTGACATCTGTCTCTCTCCTACTTGGACAGCTGCTATACAATAATACATTTACATGTTTTCGTAAAATGCAACCATTCCATCAGTATTATCTTATGACGTTGTCACGTTCAACTATCGTCAGTAAACCGACTTTACAGACAACTGTTTTTTTTTTTTTAATTATAGCTAATTCCTGTGGGTGATCTATGTTGATTCTAACTCCTGTTACACATTTTAATCTGTTCAGGCATTTGGAAGGAACTCTGATATACATACATACATATATGATTTAAGACCTTACACGAAAGTAAAATAAATGGAAGGGCCTTGCCAATACAATTCATTCAAAAATGATGAGTCAAAACTATCGTATTTAAACTTCAACAGTAATAAGTGTGTGTTATACATTTGTTATGAAAAAAAGACAGAGAATATATATATATATATATATATAAGTAGCTGGTGCCGTTCTTCGTTCCCGTGGAATTTGAAAATCGCTGCCTTAGTGGGTTCGATTCCCGGATCAGGCAAAATTTTATAGGGTTTTTCTGAGAGAAAAAATAGCCTAAGTTACTATTTATATAGACAGCTACCTGATAGTAAAATATTATCAAAATCGGTCCAGCCGTTTTGAAAATTAAACATAACAGATTACCCTAGACAGACAGACAAAAAATATTTAAACTGGTTTAAAAAAAAACTATTATTATGACATTACAAACAGACACTTAAATTTTATTTATTTGTATAGATATCTGCGTCAGAAATACATTCTGTCTAGATACGAAGTGTAAGCCGGCAATGACTATGGAGTCTTCAAAATCAATGTGATCTATCCATTTCTTTTATTTTGGTTTAAGTCTCTGACAACATTATAATCCTTTTTAAGCAGTCTCAAATATTTAGACTTAAAATCCAAATATGAACTCTATTGGTAAGTCCATAAGATTATATCTACACTGTACTTGCACCAGTCTGTTTCATGCGTGTGTTGATCACAGAGTGGGTGGTGTGCGAGGCTGTGGTGGTGGTAAAGCGAGTGGTTGGGGGTGGCGCCACTTCTGCGAGGGCTGCAGTCTCCAGGGCTGCTAAGCTACTCCGATCTGACAGGTTTGTTTTATCGTTTTACTGATTAATATTATTGTAAATGTGAGTTTCTTTCTTTGTTACTCCTTTCATAGCTGAATTACTCTATCGACCATAGTAAATTTTTTAATAGACGTCACGTTGACAGAAAATATTTTCCTTGGAGTGTCTTGTTTTCTCCATAAGATCTATCTACGTATTAAAAACAGGCAACCAGCGTAATGACTGACTGATGTCTGGCTCTACCCTTAAGACCCATTGCTCACGGAAGCCATGACCGATGGGGCCGGAGTTGTGACCGCGTACCGGAAGGGGGAGCTTGGGTAGGTCCCCCATAAGGTTGTTCGAGGGTCTGGTAAAGGGCGCGGGAAGCCGTTGGATGTGGGCGGCACAGGACTGGCTATTGTAGCGAATCTTGGGGGAGGCCTATGTCCAGTGTCTTTCGGCTGAGACGATGATTAACCCCATTATGTCCTATTCGTAAATTGTTCAACTGCCCAATTTTCAATTCGCAATTGGGCCAGTTCGTAATTAAGAAGCGTCCTTAATTACGAGAGGCCTTGTTGACGATCTACACGAGACAACATTCGTCTCGAAGTAAAAATGCATATGGCATAGTGGTTTGTGTAACGGACTGCTATTCCAAAGGTCGCGGGTTCGATTCCCGCTCAAGTCAAACATTTGTGTTCATGAACATTTAATATTTGATTTGGTCTGGGTGTGTCTATGTATAAGAAGTATGTATTTACAAAAAAAAGTATATATGTATTTATATCAGTTGTCTAGTAGCTATAGTACAAGCTCTGCTTAGTTCGGCCCCTACGACCTACTACCTACGACCTAAATACTACGACCCTTCAATTGGACCAACTGGACCAATTGCGAACTGGGCATTTTGCAAATGAACCATGAACCTCTAAGACTGGGCGATGATTGACTACTGCCTACCTCTGACAATTCAAAATATCTATAATTGGTTTAATTAAAATAAGTTATTATGATTTAACAAAAAGAAACAAGATTCTGTATTGATTAACACAGCTATGTTAAATTAGTTTTTGAAATGAAAAGTGAACGTTTGGAGGCTTGTGTAGGCTGGCGGGCAACGCTCGTGCGGCGGGCGTGTGGCTGGTGGCGGAGCACGGCGCCAGGCACCCCCGCGCCGCGGCTATCCTCGCGCATATGGCTTCTAACTTTGCTGACCAGGTCGGTACACCCCAAACTCAAACATTAGGCCTTGTTACAGCACTTTCAAACGTCAACCATAGACTTCTTATATGATACTAGCTGACCCTGCAAACGTTGTTTTGCTATTTACATTATCTAAATTATATTTTTTTTTGAATTTCTTAAATTCCGTTCTTAGCTGACCTCTACTCGGTGAAAAGAATATTCCTACCAAATTTCAAGTCTTTAGCTCTAATGGTTCCAGAGATATCGTGATGAGTGGCTATATACGTGGAAATCTCTTATATATATATATATATATATATAGATAATTTACAACATTCAGACCTAAAGTCCGAATGTGAACTCTATCGGTAAGTCCATAAGATTGTATTTACACTGTTCTTGCACCAGTCTGTTTCATGAGTGTGATGGTCACAGAGTGGGTGGTGTGCGAGGCCATGGTGGTGGTGAAGCGAGTGTAAAAAATTCATCAATAATTCATGATGATTGATGATTATTTTTACAGTCAAATATAAAGGTGCTCTCTATAACGTGATCGGAACTAGAATATAGTTAGCAAACTGTTAGCGTTTAATACACTTCTGTTTACCCCTAAGGGGATAAAAGATAGATGATAAAATTGAGAGACAGGACTTCGACAACAGCCAGTTCTAGTTGCAGGTTCTACCAAACCTGCTGGAGGCATTATTTGCATTTCCTAATTCATCTGTATAAGCAATTTTGCTTCCATATCAATGACTTCCCTTTTGAAGAATGAAAGAAAGCTTATTTAGTATTCTATCAGTCAATCTAGCTTTCATAGTACAAGCTCTGCTTAGTTTGAAACTAGATGGCGTTGTGTGTCATATGGTCGTAATACTAATAATATTTATTTCGTATTCCTATAACTACAAAATAGGACCTATCTATTAATTATTTAGATAGAAATTACTTTAGTAAAAGGCGACAAAAACGACTCTTAGCTCAACATGAACACTTTTTAGTAAATAGGCGGCGCTGATATTCTGCTAAGCTAAGCTATGTAATGACGCTCACGGACAACAGATGGCGTTAATTGAAAATAACTGTCTATAGTAAATAAATTTAAATTAATTAAATAAGAGCACAATGACCTGGAATGCAGTTCGTTTATGAGAGATAAATGAAAAAAAAAAACCTTTTACCTATCCCTTCAATATACTCCTAATTTTCATATCTGATTCCTAATATGTTTCCTAAATACCTATGGGACTAAAATTATAAAACACTGTGTTTAATACCCCTCTTTCTACCCCTCCTGTGATAAAAGCGTGAATTTATGTGTGACAGGATGAACTAGTAAAACTCCAGCTGCTGTCACTAGCAGTAAAACTGTCAATCACACAACCAGACACATTGCCGTTGTGCCGTTATATCGTAGCACTGGCCCGCTACGACGTGAGCTACGACGTACGCGACCGCGCACGTATGCTACGGCGGTTCATTGAACCGCAGGACGGGAAGGTACTACCGAAGTACGCCGCGGACATTTACCTGCCGGAGAAGCCCAAGCCTACAATACAGAGTAGCTTCAAAGGTTTGTTTTGTTCGCCTCTGAATCGATTATTATTAAAAACTTTTAATGCATGACAGCAATAGATATATACTACGAGAGATATTTACTTCGAGACCGTTTAGTATATTATAAGACGTGAGATAAATCGTGGGAGAGCCAAGGTAGAAAAGAAGCGATACCACGCCTTGACAGAAAACCGGTAATACTTTCGTGGCTTTTCTCCGAATGAGTTTGAATACCGGACCCCAACCTCTGCGTTCCCTGATTCGAGGTGGGGGGCTCAAACAGCAGCAAGGTACTTGTGACTTTTGAGTTGTAGATGTCCATGGGTAGCGGTAGACACAACGGTAGGCACAGGTGATCCTATAATAACCATAAAAAAGGAACACTGAAGTGTGATGTAAACTGTTTTGGTATAAACAGTTGTGTGACATACTAACAACTGTAAATCAACGTTTAAAACGAGTGTCCTTGGAGTTTTGCTATGTATTGAACAGGTTCTAGTTTTAGGAACTTGTTTTACGACTCACTTACTCATGTACTGTTCCATATATAGTCTATCCGTGTTAAGAAAATAGTGACGCATCGATTAAGCGCCGCAACCTTTCCAATCATGTTCCAAGCTTTCTTACGGAACGATAATTTCTTGAAACCTGATTGGTCATGAAGCGGGGCTCGATCGATGCGAAAACCTCCTTTCTAAGGAGAGGCCTATGTCTAACAGTGGACTAGTAAAGTTGATGATAATTTTGCGAAAGGACTGTAGTCGATTTATCTGTCGAATAAAACAATAACAAAAAGTTTGTTTGTCCCGTGCGTCAGACCGCAGCCAGTTCACGATAGGCACGCTGTCGCAGTACATCGGCAGCGCGGCGGGCGGCTACCGCCCCCTGCCCCCCGCGCCCCGCGCACCCCTCGCCGCGCACCTGCGCGCGCAGCCCGACCTGGCGCCGCCCGCGCAACCCAACACCGACGACACACCGGTAACATATGCGACACAAATATACATATCTAAACAATTTTACCAAAAAAAAACAGAAACACATTGTCTTGTTTTCTTTTATTTAACAGAAAAACAAGAATTTCTATTCGGAACCGGGCAGCAGTGGATCTGGTTCTGAATCCTCGTCCGACGCTGAAGCTAGCAGCTCGGAGGAATCCTCTAACGAGTAGGTGTTTTTATATGTTTATATGAAATTATAACGTTATTATTAAATAAAAAAAAGATCTGAACATGTTGGTCCAACGAGCCGATGTTTATACAGTATAATTAATTATAATGGTCATTTTTGATACCTAGGGAGGAAAGCACAAATGAAGAGAAAAAGGAACAAAAGCCAGTCAAAGAAACCAATAACTACAGGTATGTTTCATATTTTTATACCTACATACGTCAGAACCACGGGTACGGGTTCGATACCTACCTACGATTAATAATTGTAATAATGAGTACGATCATTTGCTTAGGGTTTAGGTGTAATTTGTCTAGAAATATATTAGAATCTTTATCAACAACGATTGACTGCACGGATGACGCAGTGGTTTAAGTGGTCGCCACACCGCTTACTACTACGCTGAGTGTTGTGTGTCCGATCCCAACATGGGACGACACTTTGTGTGATCCACAAATTGTTATTCTGAGTCTGGATGTTCTTTGTGTCCGTTTCACGTATGTTTGTAAAGCCCCCCGCAACACAGGATATATTCCTAATGCGTCAGTTGTCTTTAAAAATATATATATCTTCTTACCATTTTATACTCTACCTAGTTTGGGATCAGACGGCTGTGTGTGAGATGTTCAAGTTAAAAAAAAACAGTTACAGAAAATTTGTTTTAGATCATCTAATTCGGGCACGTCGGACAGTGAGTCGGACAGCGCGTCGTCAGATGAATCTGACAGCGATTCTGACGAGTCAGCTGACAGCAGCGATGGGTCCAGCAAGAAAAATGACTTTGTCAATGATAAAAAGGTAGATAACTAACAAATCTTCATTTGAAGTTTTTAAATACCATTTATAGATGAAAAATAATATATATACAATAAGAGAATGTTTGTGTTTGAATATCTCTTTTGAGCGGTCGATTAAAATATTTCACGTAAAATTGAGGGTAGATGTGGATAACGGATAAAAAACGTTCGAATGTTCTTTCGCTTGGTCTGAATTGTTTCTTAATGTAGATTTACTTGTCTGTTTGCTTGTTTATAGCTATTACTGAGCTAAACATAAAATGATCGTGTACTATGCTGTTCTATTTTTTTAGGTTATAATTCAGGCAAATCTTGTACCACCAAATTCCGAACGATGTCTTACTGGTTTAAACTAAAATAAATTTTCAAAATTTAAAAATAATGGTAGCTTTTGCCCGCATCTTTTCTCACGTGATATTATTTTTTCTAATGTTTTTTTTTTAATTTTACTCCAATACGCGGTATGGGTGCGTATCATCTCATCTTCGTATGTGATGAAACTACGAAAGGACAAGTTCCATATGTAAGAAAGTTTAGATGTTAATTAAATCAATTATCTCCTTGTATACTGATTAAAATACTGTGGCTTTCCACCAGCCCCAGAAGCCTCAGCCTGAGCCTAGCAAGGAAGAACCGAAAAGAAACGAGAAGTCAAACTTAGAACTTCTGTTAGAATTGGACGAGGTGGCCAGCTCTTTGCCCACTATGACACCCACTTGTGGAGGATTCTTGTCTCCGCCCACTGGCCCACAAGCTGGGATAGTTGATGGTAAGTTACCGTTTCTATTATGTTCTGAAAAAAATTTTTGATAGTTAACATTATAACATGTTATAACTAATTGCCTCGACAGACTGTCAAATGTCATTGGCCAGTCGCATCCTAACGCACTTCTGCGTTCACGTAAAACTATTGACAACAGTCTAGGGACTGGTGTTTTAATTAACTCTGTCTTTTGTATGAGAACTGAAAAGAAAACTGTTGTTTTTAATATTTTCCTTGCAATTTTTGAGAGTTTTCTCTTCATAGGAACCTTCCTTGGGCCTTAACGAAAACATGAACAAAAATATTAGCCAAATTGATCGAGCCGTTCTCGAGTTTAGTGCTTAGCAACACATTTGGCGAATTATTTTCTATTCTATATAAATTTTCATTTATATAGAAGATGACTATGAAATTCTATGTAATAAATCAATGAAATCGTTTGTAGATCGGCACAGACATATAATAAATTTACTTCATTTTACTAAATATTTGACTAAACAGATTGTTGCTATTGTGTGTGTTGATCTTATGAACTTAGTCTTAGACGAGTTTTTTATTTTATGGAAAAAAGATATTTTGAATTTGAAAAGACCTTACGTTTAAATAACAGGAAAGAACTAAATGTCTCATAAGTCTCATATCATGGGTGATGACCATTCGTATTGATGGTATTGTCACGAAACATCACGAAATATCCAGAAACACACATTAGAACAGTATATTGGATTAAGGAAACCGAGGACGTGTATGCTTGTGTATGCATGAGGTGTGTATCAATAACTTGAGCGGGTCATTTATAATATTACTTAGAATAACTTATAATAGGGAAGACGCTTATTATAATTTTGTTCCCCAGCGGACAGCATAACCCCGGTGGGTCCTTCTTACACCTGCCCGACCTATACGGAGGTGGTGTCCCGCGTGGTGTCGGGTGGTCTGTCCTGCAGCATGCGCTGGTCGCGCTGCCCCCACTTATACTCCCAAACCATGTGTGCGATAGACCTGTCCTTCACCAACCACACCGCCAACCAGATCACTAACCTCAGAGTCAACAAAAAGGTGAATATTTAAATAAAATGTTAAACTTTGTTGGCTGATGATTATATTTGATGATGATAGGACCTCAAGGTGTTGACCGGGGGTTCCCATCACGTATTACTCTGGAGTAATAGTCACCGTCGAAAAAGAGTGTTTTTATAAAAAAAAAAACATCAAATAAATAAGCCAGCGATCATCGAAGATTTGCTGGAGTCAAATTCAAACTGCTGAATCGGACTCCACAAACTAGAGGTTCTTTCCATCAACCGTCAGTATCATTGCGGAATACTTGATGAGCCGCTTAAATTTGATTTGCAATACAATACAGACATTTTTGTGTGTGTGCGTGCGTGTGTCTGTGCGCACGTGTATGTGTTAAAAAATGGGAAGGTTTCATGATATATAATAGGGAATATGCACGTGACACCAAAATGGACAAAATATTTTTATTTGTAATTTTTATTGCTAAAAAAAGATACCCATACAATTACTTTTGAAATTTATTATAATTTAATAGTGAAATTTAATCATCAAAAATTTGCTTTTTTAAGATTCCCTCGCAAATTTCTAAAACGCAACGCTATTGGTTGAATAAAACGTGACGTCAACCTACACTGTCAAGAGTGTCAACAAGTTGTGTGTATTCGTAATATTTGGTTTCTGGTGATTTTTTGTTTCATTTTAAGTTAATAACTAATACGTTTTCAGTGTTATATTATTAAATTCCCGTGTAGAAAGACTCAACACAACGACTGAAACCGGTTTTGTCAAAGCATCTGATTATGTACATACATAACTTTAAATTATTATCCACGGGTCGTCTTTCAGTGTAAATGCGGGTAGTTACCGAAACGATCAGTACAATTTGGTCGGCCTTCTAAGTTATCATAGCGATTGTCTACACGACCAGTTAGACATATTAGTAAAATCAAGTATTCGCCACTGTTGCAGACACTAACAGGGTCCCGGAACATCCACGAGTTCAACCCAATCCAGGTGATACCTCCGGCATCCACTTTTACGGTCACGTTGGGCGTGGATTTCGCTGATACCATACAGCCGATCGAATTCACCGTCATAAGCTCGCTGGGTAAATAATATTATTTATGGCTTACTACCTTTTGACTGCGTTTTCGCTAACATTAATGTCGTAATTTTTTAAATACATTTTTCGGAATAAAAAGTAGTATGTCCTATTGGAGATTATTATTTATTTCTGTGCTAAATGTTTCATCCAGAGTCGTTCAGCTGTTCTGGTGTGATTCAGGGGAAAATAACACTAAAAATTATGCGACTTCCAGAGAATGTAAGAGTTCTCAATTATGTTCCAGAACTCCGTCAATTATTAAAGTTTGGAAAATTCTTAGTTTACCTCAAAGGGTATGCTTCTCTTTTCGTCCCGTTCGAATTTAAAGAAAAATACTACAGCCAATGGTGCAAAATTAAGGAGTAAAGAATACATTTTATTAAAATTTATCAGGATTTAGATGCATTAAACTCGGAGATATCTTCTATGTAATGTTGTTGAAGATATTTGAAGTTGTCGGTTGACGGTTGGTGTGTAGGCGAGGTGTCGGTGTCGCTGAGCCCGGCGGTGGGCGAGCTGCTGCGCGCCGTGAGCATGGCGCCCGCGCGCTGGGCCCTCGAGCACAGGAGCCTGCGCGGCATGACCGAGGTACGACACTCTTCTGTCTTAATACTAAATATATTGCTTCTGCACCACGAGTTGCCTAAATACTACTATACAATACAATCCTTTAAGGTTACAACATTTTCATACAGATGTAAAACTATTAGTAGGGTATAGAACTATACTACAATACATTTTGGTCCTTCGAGCCGGTTTACGTAAGTGCCTTTGGGTAAAGTAGAAGGAACCCGAAAATCAATCTTTGGCACCATTTTGTTTGTTTTTCTTTAAAGTAATAATGTCTTTACAGTGTGATAAAAAAGCCGTGAAGTTAGAGGACGAACAATTGATCTGCAGACTTGTGTTTGAGACTGCGAACCTCGCTGCCATAACCTCTACGGGAGACTTCCTCAGGTAATATTTTATAATAAACTGTAATACATTACAAACACGTGACGAAACAAAACAGATCATCATCAACAGTTCTCTGCTGGACTTAGGTCCTAAGAAAGGAGATTTTGGTCGACTGTACCACGCTGGCCAGACTAGTTGGTATAGGATTTGTTTCAAGTTCTCCTTCTCTTTGCAGTGCTGTTGTCCTGTTTGTTGTTGCTGTTGTGCTGTTTGTACCCTCAGTCGGATCTTATAACACTCACGGGATGAATAAGGGTGGTGACGCTCTGTATTATTAATTCGTCACCATACGGATGACTGAAACTTTAATACTGTAACTTTTTGATGTGTAACATCTCGTTAACTTGCCTTACTACAGTTCCACATAACTCCACTAAAAAAATCGTATTGAAATTTGTTAAAAGCTTTGAGACTCCAGAAAATGATAAAAGTACATCGTTATAACCTAAAAAATCTCTTAGAAATAATTTATTTCACATACTCACTCCAGATTCGCCGGCCGCCTGATGTCTTCCCAGGACCTGGTTCTCCTCTCCGTGAAGTTGGAGGCCGACTGCTGCCGGGTGACAGCTAACTGCTCCAACATGGCGATAGCGTCGCTCCTAACCAACGAAGTTGCTCAGGCTTTGAACAGATCTTCAACCATTCTTGCCTAAATACGTACCTTTAATAGTTATCTGACTTAGAAGTTATTCCTTAAATAATACAATGTATTTTAAGTTAATTATTTTATAATTTGTTACTTTGAGTAAAGCATAATATTGTTTAAGAAATATAATTATGTAGACATTTTTATATTTAAGTTAGATGCTAGCTGAAAGAAGATATCATCTCTTTGTTATGGTAACTTCTCGCTTCTTATCAGACTTGCTGAACCAACATCAACAGCCTTTATAAGTCCACTGCTGGACATAGGCCTCTCCTTAGAAAGGAGGTTTTGGCCTACTATACCACGCTGGCCAGACGGGTTGGTTATAGCGTTTGTGTCAAGTTTTCCCTCTCTCTGGCAGTGCTGTTGTCCTGCGTAGTTTGCTACCTTATTCGGCTCTTACGACACACACGGGATGAATAGGGGCTGTGAAACTGTATTCTTAATCCGTCACCACACGAACCGAACTAACGGTGAGGTCGATAAATATAATCAAAACCTGGATTCTCTTTCAAATTTCAACTGACGGGCCTGTAAGTCGCTGGTTATGGGTTCGATTCCCACCCAGGACAAGTATAGTGTTATGAGCACGATCATTTGTGCTGTGTCTAGGTGTAATTTATCTATAATATGTATGTATTTAATTTAGAAATATATATGTTTATCAGTTGTCTGGTTACCATAATACAGGCTCGGTCAGCTTGGGATCAGACTACGTGTGAGATGCGTACCTAAACCTGTTTTATATTTATGTTCCTTGTGAGAGCTCATATACGTTTATGACTCCAATAAGTTAGGTACATTGTGGGTCAGGCCTCAATTAATTATATTTGATGTCTTATGCGATCCATCAGTAATATTAGATTTAAAAAGACAAATTTAAATTTAGAAATCATAGAATCTCGTCATCGCGAGTTGAAGCTATCACTTACGTCACAGGGACGTGTGGCGCCATCTATTGGCCATTTTAAGTTTTAAAATAAATTGAGATGTATATCACATTGAATTTATTTGAAATAAAAAGCATTATTATATACACATGATGTTTTTATTATTTATACCTAATGATACACAATTCTGAGATTCGATATTTCTTCTAAAGTACACTTTACAACAAAAGTAACTTACTTAGTAAAAAGTTCCTTATTTCAAAATGACATAAGGTCCACAGCTTAATTATTCTTTCTGCTTTTAAGCGGCCTATTGAATGCCGGTGTCCTAATAATAGACTTTATAACAATGCAAATAAGTGTTAGTTTCCTATAGTTGTCAAAAGTTAAGACAATGTCTTATGGCAGAATAAAAATCGTATAAATAAAAAAATTTGCTTATCACTTAAAAGTTGCAAACAACTAAATACTGTTGATTTTATATAGTAAACATGAAACGCCCATCCTTGCATTATTTTCCTAATATTAATACAATTAATTATTATTTTTCTACTAAGAGCTTAAAATCTATAACTAATTCGAGATTCCAGCCTAACGGTGCATACATATTAAATTATTGGTTTTAGTATAAAATACCATAAAGTTGATTATATATATTTAAGAATGGGTAATTTATGCTACAAAAGCATTCACAAAAATTAATACATTCCTACAGGAATTCCCAACAGGTGGCAATCAGGAATAAAATTCCCAAATGTCTACAAAACAGTTTATTTTAAAAAGTTTTTTTTATTCTTTAGAAATTTAGTGTTGTTTTGTAAATGTATACTCTGTATTGTAATACATTATATATATATATATATACTAGCTGACCCGGCAAACGTTGTATTGCAAAACAAAAAAAAATTAGGGATGGGTCAAAAATAGATGGTGGCCGATTCTCAGACCTACCCGATGTGCACAAAAAATTTCATGAGAATCGGTCAAGCCGTTTCGGAGGAGTACGGGAGCGAACATTGTGACACGAGAATTTTATATATAAGAGATAAAATGTAGACATATATTAAGGTTACTTTTTACATATTATCAAAGGGCTTGATACTAAGACCCTTTAGAAATATGTGAAAACGTACCGATAAAGTAATATTTCGTAAGTAAGTAAGTAATATTTTACAGGACTGATTAATTCTCTTAAAACGAAAAAAAAAATTGTAGAATTTAAAGCATTTTCAAAAGAAAACCATTTTTTTTTTCATATAACAACGGCTATACATAAAAATAAATTAATTCTAGAATATTTTCATCTTACCGTTGCATCTTGTATATTAAGTGAAAAACATACATTTTATGATTTTCGTCATTTTACTTTAATGATTTGATCAAAAAACATTTTTTTGCAACTAAAACAGTAGGATACAATATCATATTTACCATGTACAAACAAATATATGCAAAATCTCACACCATCTCGTCAATGTTGTGGGTAATGACCCCACCCAGGCGGCATACTCAGTCCATAAGTGGGGGTAGTTATAGAAAGTATCCTGGGCCTTTTACTCAGATCCTCATGATGATTCATCGTCGGCTGATGCATCTGCTGCTGCTGAGGCTGCTGATGAGTTTCCTGGCTCATCTGAGCATTGTGTGACTCCAATATCCTATCCTTCTTTGACATCCGTTTCCTTGGAGCATTCCCACAGTCCGGAACCACACGTCGTTCATTCCATAACCTTTCAACTAACTGTGCTCTTGCTTGGATACCGTTAACATCTTCAACTTGTTTCCTTGGTATGGGTCCGTTAGCTACTTTTTGCTTCATAACCTCTAAACGTTCTTCTGTCTGTGTCATAGGAACAACTGGTAATCCCCGTCTGTTGCATATGTTGTTTAAGATGCAACAAGCAACAATCATCATGGCAACAGTTGGCGGGTCTAGCTGTTTGTTGCAGGTGGCTTGAAGGCATTTCCACCGGCTTTTTAACTGTTTAATAGTGTCCGTTACAGCGCTGTGTGTCTGTGTGTGTAAGTTTGTATAGTATTTTTCAGGGGATACTGGCGATTTCTTTGCAATCTTTGGGATTGGTGTCATGAGGTATGGCTTTTGTGTGTAATATGGACCACCTGTAAGAAAGAACATAGAAGAGTATTTATTTTTGCATCATTAATCGACATTGTTGATAAATTCGATTTTGACAATTAATTATTTCAAATTAGGTAAGCTATGTGCTATTCCAGGCTATAATCTAGCTCTTCACCTAATTTCCTACGATCTGGATGAAATTCGATGCTTCGAATACTGGCGACATATTGGCGCTGTTATCCGCATTTCTCTAGACGAACACATCAAAAATGCGCATGCGCACTTTCATACCCGTTTGAATAGCGAGGGCAAAGTATAGTGTTATAACCTTTTTCCAGCTTTTCACCACGTTTACTTTTAACCCACTTATGTTCAGTTCTTTTCAATAATACTATTTTTAAAAATGGTTTTTTTTAAAATTAGCGTTTCTGCTAATTCACACACAGTCCAATATATGTATGTGTATGTGTAATGTCCAGTATCTCAAACTAACACACTCACCAATAAGCCAACACTGTTCACCGGAGTTGTTGAGACTCTGCAGATCGATCCTGACGGCGTGCTTGTTTAGTATAACGTCGTGTGAGTTGGAGCCACCCGGTGTCGCGTACACGCTCGTAATCGTTTGGTCGCTGTCACATATCTATAAAGCAGATACGAGAAAAAATTATACAAGTCTTTGGACTATATTAAAAGGACTACAATCATCAACATCAACAGCCTTTAATAGTCCACTGCTGGACATAGGCCTCTCCTTAGAAAGGTGATTTTGCCACGCTGGCCAGACGGATTGGTATAGGGTTTGTCACAAGTTTTCCTTCTTTTTGCAGTGCTGTTGTTCTGTGCAGTTTGTTCCCTTAGTCGGCTCTTACGACACCCACGGGAGGAATAGGGGTGGTGACATTCCGTATTCTTAATCCGTCACCACACATATATACAACTTTTTTAAACCACATTAGAAGTGTAAACAAGCATGCAGTATATGAACGCTTGCAAGTTCAGGGAACTACCATGTGGGTTACAAACGCTTAAAAAAAAATTCTATTCCAGAAGTACAGCTAAAACACAGCGTTTTTCAGATGCTGCATTTGAGACAAGCAATTCGTCATATCCATTTCATGTATGTTTGAATATTAAAGACAGGAGTCCCTTTTACAAAAAAAAAGTTTTGTCATACTCACAATTTGCACTTTTTTGGAATGATAAGACTTGTTAAAATGACTCTTCGTGTCATCATCAGGCCTTGCCATTGGCACATGCGTGCAGTCTACACAACCGAGAACATTAGGAATACCATATTTCATGTAGAACCTGAAATATATTACAAAAAAAAATATGATAGTATATCAAATAGTACGGAGGTGAGTGTGCTTTGATATTTCATGAGCAGAATTGTGTTTTAGAACAATGGGTACATTTTAAGTTCAGATAGATATTAAGTCATGAAAAGGCCTTCGTGTAGTTCTGACCTACCAAATAGGATTGCACAGCAGTCGCTCAGAGAAAGTGAAAATTAATTAAATGTAACTATTAGCAATATAGCGATTAGTGCTAAATTATCGCCTTTAATGTAATTTACATCTTATTGTTATTATAATAACATTTGTAAAGTGGAACCAAGTAGATATAAATTAAACGAAAACTTTTATTTAGCGGTTGCCCATAAATCATTGTACGCTCCCTCTAGCAAGGAGTCCTGTTAATTCAACCAACACTAGTGGGACTATTGCCACAGATTCAGTTATATTATAGAAACAAGGTTTATGAGAAAATAAAGCACTGGGTAAAAAGTTACCGTAAACCAAAAAGCTCTGGGAATTTTCTTACATTTCATACATTACAGCTATGAAGTGCTTGTGATTTACTATTATGGAGAAAATTAAAACTAATAATGCAGAATGATTTCTAAACAATAATAATAAGTGAACATATCTACCTACTGGAATAACACACACTTGTAGACTTAACGAGGTATTTTGGGTGCTACATGCTTCTTTTAAATCATATTCATTTGATGAAATGATTGACTTTAGTCACAGTGATTTCACAAGTAATTGTGATTTTTCATACACAGAGATAAATGGCATTAAAATCAATCCAAATTCCTTTTATCAAAGATTACCTTTTTTTACTGAGATTCCTTTTTGTTACCTTTCGCGTGTCTTGGGCTAGCGTAATAATAATAATTAAGTTGCAGTGGGTTTGTAAATCTATACTAATATTATAAAGCTGAAGAGTTTGTTTGTTTGTTTGAACGCGCTAATCTCAGGAACTACTGGTCCGATTTGAAAAATTCTTTCAGTGTTAGATAGCCCATTTATCGAGGAAGGCTATATATCATCACGCTAAGAGCAATAGGAGCGGAGCACCAATGAAGAATGTTTAAAAAACGGAGAAAATTTATTACTTGAGAGACGCAGACGAAGTTGCGCGGGTCGGCTAGTCAGTCACATATGATGATATGATTTATCACATGTGATTGTGATTTTAATCCATCCCTACTGCATGTACCTAATCACAAACAGTTCTATTGAACAGCTCTTCCATAAACAGAAGTCTGCTGCACTGAATCCATACTCATTCATTAGTACAATTTGTCCTTATCGCTCAACTCACCTAGCTTTTACAATATCCCTCTCTTGACGTAAATGAGGGAAATGTATATATTTTTTTACAATGCTCGGGTGGTTCATAGCCTCTGTGACTTGCAGCACAGCCGTTGACACAAAGTACTGAGTTATGTGTGGATCTGAACGGCCTCCAATTGATTTCTGGTATTTGCCAGTTGCATAAAATGATAGAGCTGCCATCACCTGTAAAAGGATCATCGTTAGTGTCAACACCCTTTAAAAGTCTATAGCTGGACATATGCCTTTCTTAAGAAAGGAGTAAAGGCTGTAAAAGGATATTCCAAGAATTAAAAAAAAAACTGAAATGGTGAATCGTTTTACACATATTGTTGATGGGCCTTTTGTCCAGTAGTTAGTGATTGTGACTGCTAAGCCCGAGGTTGTGGGCAGTCATAGATCAGGGGGGGGGAAGGGGGGATGGCAAACCGCAGCTGGAAATCATAATATAGTATGGTTAAAAATAAAAAACTTGCTCCACAAAGCGCTTAACATATGGAGGTCTGTTTGGATGTTGGCCTGGCGCCACACACCCACAAGTGAACTTATATATCTATGAGATTTCTTAAATAATTTATTTCAAACGCTAGAGAGTGTGTGCAAACTATCAAGTTTCTGTCCCGGTAATATTAAATCATAGATCCAGGGCTGGTTGTGGGTTTAATTCCAACCAAGGACAGCACGCTTGTGACTTCTGAGTTATAGGCTTCATGGGCGGCGGTAGTCACTTTCCAGACAAATAATTGTGTGGTGAGCATGATCATGTATTCCGTGTTGGGGTGTAACTTATCTATAATACATAAGTATTTAGAAATTTATAAGTACATAGGTATATTTATCAGCATTATATATAGCACAGGCTCCAGTTTAATTTTGGCTCAGATTGTTCTGTGTAAGGTTATAATATTACGTTTTCACAAAAATTTTACATAATTCTCTTCTCATTGATTACTTTTTTGTTTGTTTTTTCTATAAAACTATTAAATATTGAAAAAATAAAGTAAATTAATTTATCAAGTTTGTGTATATGTTACAGTAATTTGAACAAAACATAAAACAAAAAAGATAAGGACTACAACCCGCACAAGCACTCAGAGCAATGAAGTTGAACCCGTCCCTCGAGTCAGCTTTTTGGATAGTACCATTCAGATCATCATCTGTGTAAGATGGTAAATGGACTTTTCATTGCATTAATAGCCTTATGAATGTAATTTTACAATTGCATTCTCATTATTTCGAAATATTAGTAAACACTTACTTTACTTTCAACTGAAAACTCAATTGATTTCGTAGACTCGGGCATAACAGGTTTTAATTCTTCGCAAAGGTTTCGCGCTAAATCCTTAGACAGTCTATACGTTTCTATAAAAGATGGTTCATTTAAATCAAAAGGATCTGAGTCCGCAGGCCTGGTAAAACGTTTTTCTGGGCTCTTTGCTTTCTCTATAGGCCTGTGTTCTGGCTGTTGATGTTGCGGTTCATGTTGCTTTTGCGTATGAGACGAATCCCATTTGAGTAGCTCAAAAATCTCCGGCTCTTCGTCAACTACAGATATATAAATTTCCTCAGGCGGTTTTTCAGCCATTTTATAGATTAAAGTTTATTTTGATATACAATAAACGCACCTTGGCGTCAAGCTTAGTTCTTTGTTTGACAAGAACAAGTGACATTTGCTGTTTTATTGTCAGTTTCTAAATCTACGTCGGCTATGAAGATTTCTACCAGAATAGTAACATTATAATGTCATGAATTTAAAATTAATTTAAGACCTATACATTATCATTGTATTAGCAAGTTAAATACATTATCACAATCATAAATATAGGTGTCGTCATCATCATCAACAGCCTATAACAGTCCACTGCTGGACATAGGCCTCTCCTTAGAAAGGAGGTTTTGGCCTACTATCCCAGGTTGGCCAGACGGGTTGATATAGGGTTTGTTTCAAGTTTTCCTTCTCTTTGCAGTACGGCTCTTACGACACCCACGAGATGAATAGGGGTAGTGACATTCCGTATTCTTAATCCGTCACCACACGGAAACACAAATATAGTTGTATCTGTAGAGATAAAATTATTTACTGTGTGATTGTTGTATGGTTCCTAAATCTAGAGAAAAAAGAAAAAGAATTAAATAGAAGTGCCTATCTATTAAATTACCTACTTTATTATTTAGTTCTTTAGTTTCATGTAGTTATTTTTCGTTCTTTACGTTCTTTGCGGAAACTGTTGTACCACACAGCCTGTTTAACTGTGGTCTTAAGTTCAAGGTCTTAAGGTCTCAAGTTCAAAGGTTCGAAATATCTTTTTCATGTTAAGACTCTTAACATAAAAAAGATATTTCGAACCTTTTTTCAAAACAGAACTGACCTTACTAGAATGCCTGCCTATGGAATGAAACATTTCAAAAAAGCAAGTTATTTTATTAGTTTGGTTTACGAGTTGCTGAACGGGGCTAAAATATCATAACGGCAGGGTGCATCAAAGTTCATAGATTCTATTTTATTGTGATAACCTAGATACACTTACACCCACAATAAATGGTCGTGCTCGTCGCAGAATTGTTTATCCTTGATCTCTGGCTCTGCAGTCAGGATGAAGTCTAACTACTAGACTGAAGCCTTTTTTAAATAAGTACCTACCTACATAATTCGATCCGCCATTTCTGGAATAGGGTTAATAAATATTATATATATTTTTTTTTTTTTTTTTGGACATCTGACACACAACGCCATCTAGTTTCAAACTAAGCAGAGCTTGTAATATGAAAGTTAGATTGACTGATAGAATACTTATAAACTTTTTTTTTTTAAATACATACATATACATATAAAACACCCAAACTCCGAAACAAATATTTGCAGATCATACAAACATTAGGTCCGACCCGGGAATCGAACCCGAGACCTCAGCACAGCAGTCGCATAAGCTACCACCGCACCACCGAGGCAGTCTAATAAATGTAACATATATGTTTCTATGTAGTCTAGGTAGGACGTGTCCAGAGCTACTTTCGTATATACTAAAGGTACTAGACGTTTCAACTTTTATTTTTCTACATAACGCCTACCATAGCGTGCAAGGCAATAAAATGTAAACACACAATTATTATCGTCTAGCGATTTTTTATTTTATTTTTGTGGGAGGCGTACCTGGGTTGGTGCAGATAGAATCCCTTCTATTTCAGAAACAGGATGGCATACTATGTGGTTTTAGTCAGTTCGATTGCAACACATCACCCTACAGAAAACGCCGGTTAGGTGCCTGCCGGAGAGGGTTTCCACACGTGAAAAAAAAAATAGATAGATAGAAAACTTTATTTTTACACCATTTTACAAAATAGTATGGTACATAAAAATGACAGACAAATCATTGTAATGTGCCTCGGGAACTTTTTTGTGGAATTTAAATTAAACAGCTTTGACGGTGAAAGAGAACGTGCTGTGCCCCGACCACGAACAACTTGCGAAAAAGTATTAGAATCGTCTTCAACCACAATTTGTATGACATTTGTGCAGCGCCCCTATCGTGCATAAAAGCAACTAATTTTGGCAGCACGAACGTTTCCAATTTACTTTCGTATCGTAACCGTATCGTCAAGCATTCGATACGTGACACTTTATGAAGAAAATTGGCTGTGCTGTGCGCTGACGATGTAAGGGAATAATTTCAAGCAAAATAAATTGTCTTGTATAAAGTCTATCTTTTCTTTTTTAACCGTGACGTGGGATAGCCTGGCTTTGGCATATATGTGCAGACTCAGACGAAGTTATATGACCTAAAACAATTTAGGTGTTTTTTACCAAGCGATTCAGGTTACCGGAGTTCGAAACTCTCCCTCCTCTATTTCTGGGGGTATGTACTTCGGGCACGCCGTCATCGCGGCGGTAAGACCCGTTATGGAGGATTGGCTCGAGAGGCGTCACGGGACTCTCTCATGCCGACTGACGCAGGTGATCACTGGGAAAGGATGTTTCGGGGATCACCTGTGTCTGATCCGCAAGGAGCCAACGCCTGAGTGCCACCACTGCGATGACCAGACCGTGGACACGGCTCTCCACACGCTGACAGAGTGCCCGGCGTGGGTTGAGTAGAGGCGAGACCTCGTGGCGGCCATCGGAGTGGGAGTTCTCTCGCTCGATAGCCTGATTGCGGCTATCGTGCGGAGCGAGAGTGCGTGGAACTCTGCCGTCTCCTTCTGCGAGCAAGTTATGCTCGCGAAGGAGACGGCGGAGCGGGACCGGGAGCGGGCTGGGTACCGCAGGCGACTCAGGCGCCGCAGGTCGCAGAACGACCTCAGTCCTCCATAAGCGCAGGCCTGGGGGTGACAGGTGAGGCCATCTGTCACCCTAGCAGAAGCAGAGGGAACATGGGGTTCCCACACGGGGTGGGGGGTCGTCTACTCGTCTGTAGATGGCCTGAGGTATGTCGGGGCACCAGAGACTTCCTTTCTAGGGTATACCTGGTTCCCCGGCTATTAGTACCCGAGACGGCGTGCGGTTTTAGTCGGTTCGAGTCCGACATGGTCCACACATATTTGTCAAGCTAATGCGCAAGTGTTTCGGCTACACATAAATTCAAATTCAAATTACTTTTTGCGATATTGCTTTTTTTAATTATTTTAATTCTTTATGCACAAATTACAACGCACTAGTACAATGTCGGACTTAATGCCACAGACATTTTTTCCCAGTAAATCAGTCAAACTTATGACGTTCCTAAACTATACCTACATTGATATCTACAGGAATTGCTAGTTTCTCGCTCGTTATTACATAGATAAACTTCGCTCGCCCTATGTTTTCATTTACCCTATACTTCTGATAGTAATATATAACACCACTAAAAATTTAAGAAGGGACCATCCATAAATTACGTTACACATTAGGCGGGAGGGGTACGGGGGTTAAGGCACGGTACTATTATAATACAGTAGTGTAACTCGGCCGCATGATAGAAATAAATGCCTACAGCCGCGCGGTACGTAAACATGCGTTAGGGCTGCCCGTCTCCAGCATTTTAATTATATTTGTCTACTTTCTGTTTCTATTTAGATTTGTGATTGTAAATATCCTTTTTATATAAATAAATGAAATACTTTGTATATTGAATAGGAAGTGTTCAATAAAAATGCGTGTTGTTTTTTGATTGGTAGATTTAATTATTTTATTTTCTTTCTGCATTGGAGGAGTTCAAGTTTCAATTTTCTTTTTCTTGGAGTGTTGCTAGAGAGACTCGTCGAGGTTTGAGCAAAGATTTCATTTGTTGCATTTTCAGTCTGTGTACTATTTTCATTTCCTACCAACGGAGCAGTTTGGGTTTGTTTATCTTCTTTTAGAGATACTCCTGGATCAGTACTAGCTAAGCTTGGCAGCATCAACAATGGTAGGGCATTCTTTTTTAAAAGTTTTCTATTTGATGAATGTAATACATCCTCCAAATTAAAATGTTTTTCACAAACTTGGTAGGAACTAAAGTTAGGTTTGTTTTCCAAATCATCTCGCCGGATCAGTTGCAACCATTGAAGACGTCTAGCTGTTGTTGTTAATACCGAGAAAATGAAACCAGTTTTTAGTGGTATATGTTGTTATAGTAGCAGCAGTAACACTTTGTGAAAATTTCGAAAACTATCTAATGACACACAGACGGTAAAAAAAACTTTCTAGTATTATTCATACACACAGATAATAAACAAATATTATTAAAAATAAAATACCACGTCTTTACTTTGAATTATGCAAAGTAACAAAACACACATGCACCGAAGTTTTAACACAAGCGTAAGTAGGTAGGTACCTACCGTATCATGATTCATTCAGAACCGCATATAACTACCTATTTCACTCGTCTCAATAACTTTCCGTTACTCTATTCGCTTTATTTATTAATCCACACACATAAAAGGAAATACTTATCCATTAAAAAGACACACATTATCTACCTACCTACCTACTAGTAAGTAAAATTATTTTATAGTCTTACTTTGCAGAGTTTCCAGGTAATTTAAAAAAACTTATGTCTGGATGCGTTATTGACGAATTCATACAACCAAAAACAGCACAATATTTCCTACTCGTCTATTAACTGATTTTTAGAGAAAAAATCCGTTCGACACTGCGGTACAGCCGTGACTGTCTGCGCCCCGAGCGCACCCCGAGATCGAGGCGCGTAGGTATAGCTCGCCGTCCGTTTGTCTGAAGTTGGAGTACAGTATTATAATTGTACCGTGGTTAAGGTGTCAAAAAAGAATGACATATGTTCATAAACTAGGTACATCACTCAAAGTCTACAGTTTTTCCTGCGTCAAATGGATATGTAGGAAGTAAATGCCTCTGAAGGTAAAATCGTCTCACTATTATTGTAACTACTTCTAGATCACCGGGTATTATGGCATTTTTAACGATCAAGCAGATTCCTTCACAGAGAGTTAAGGGGAATGACACTTTTAGTATCGCTGCCATGTTAGTTGTGGCTCAAGTTTAAGATTTTAACAATTGGTTTATGTTTTATAATATTTTATCTGATAATAAAAAATCCGTACTTCGAAGATGAAAGTCAAGTGCATTAATACATTCTAGTTCTAGTT